ACACAAAACCCTACCCAAGCTCAAGTCTCTGTTCCGGTGCTTGGATCCAAATGCTGCACCACTTCCCCTGGGATTTCACCTTCTTCTTTTCTGCCTGGAATACCTTCACTGGCCGTGCTGGGGGCTCTGCCTGCCTCCAGCACTGGACCTGAAACTGAGAAGCTTGTCCACAAGCTCCAACAGCACTGGGAACCTCGACCAGTTCAAACTTCACAGAGCGGAGAGACCCCAGCTCTCTGTCTCTCTCTGTCTCTGTCTCTCTTTCTTCAAGCCAACTTTCTAAGCCTCTGACTTGATTTAATCTCTCTCTCTCTCTCTCCTCTCTTACTCCAGGCATTGATTTATAAACCTGACATTTGTTGATCAGACTTGAGCTACATTTCCCAAAATACCCATTTATAAACGTATAAAATTGTAATTGTTTTGTTTGTTTCTCCTTGTATGACTATTACTACTAGTATCATCATAAGTTTCATATACCTGTTAATAAAATAACTTTTATGGTCAAGCTGGTTCCTATACTCTCTCTCCAAACCTTGTTTCCTCTTTCTTCTCTTCAACCTCCCCATTTGCTCTGCAGCAATGCTTCTTTTACTTAAGTCAAAGATCCCTGTAAAGCCCCCAAATCCTGTGGGGTCTACTCATCAAGGGGATTGCTCTCAGGACAATTGGGACAAGAGATTGGGAAGTGCTGAGCCATGGCATATGAGGGTGTCAGCCTCTAAATGCTGATTGACCCGGCTGGCTCGTACGTGCTCTGTTTCTGTGCTGAGTCTGTGGCACATAAGGGCATCAGCCTGGAAATGCTGAGTTACCTACCTGCTTAGATGTGCTCTGTTAATGTGTGTGTGTGTGTGTGTGTGTGTGTGTGTGTGTGTGTGTGTGTGTTCAACTGATTCGGTAGCTGAAGGAACCCAGCCTCATTGCAACTAAGCCCTGCAAGGTAGCTCCACTGGGGGTGAGCACTTGCAGAAGGGAGAGATAGAGCTCTATATAGAAACACAAGTGACACAAACAGTAAATTGATAGAATTGCAGGGACTTCAGAAACATACCCCTAATAAATGAGCACACCCCAAAGGGATGGGCAAATCTGGTGACACAGGAGCATTAAGGGCCAAGGGACAAGGTATCTACAGAGTAGTGGATGCATGGCAGGAAGGGGAGGGAAGTAACTAGCAGTGGGCTGGTTCAGGGAGCAAGGGTGGGTCAGAGACAGCAAGTCCAGCAGCTGGGCAGACACAGTCCTGCAGGAAGGGGTTCTAGGGGGGTGGTTCAGTGCCTGCCCTGGGCTGGGCCTGGATCCCATGAGGGCAGCTGTGCAAGGAGGTGACATGCTCACATCTCTGCTGTGCAAAGTACTGCAGGGTAGCAGAGCTCTGGATGAGAACAGCTGTAAATGCCATGAGGCTGTAGAGGCACCTACCTGCCATCAGGTGGTGAATCTGGAGTGTAACAAGGAGAGCAATGGAGCCAGGCAGAGAGGGCCCCCATGCAGGGCTGAAGGAGAGTGAGGAAACCCCCCTCTCCATGGTGATGTGGCCTGGGCAGCAGGGAAACACAACCCCAACATAAGTGTACACAGGGCTGTGACCAAGACACCAGGGCAGCTGGCAGGATGTGGGGTGCAGAGGGAAGGAGCTCTCCAGGGGTCCTTGTGCTGGCCTGGGGAGTCTTATACAGAACCACGGGTTAACCAGCAGCAGGAGGCAATGTGCTTGCCCCAAGGAGATGCCCTGGTACTGCAGCAGGGCTGGAGAGGAGGGCGGGCTGGAGAGGTGTCCCAGGGACAGACCTGCAGGAATAGGGCTGGGGTGTCATCAGGCAGCTGGAACCCCATGTCCCTACACACCCCAAGGTGTGACTGACCCGGGCTGGCCAAGGGGTGAACATGGCCAGGGAGCAGCTGCAGCCCCTCCCTGTGACTGCTGGGAGGGAGTGGTAGTGGGAGCAGCATCTACTCTGCAGGGAGGGGGCTCTGCCCTACCCCAGGGATGGCAGTGACCCTGCTCACACCTGCTGCTTTGCAGTTGAGCTCAGTACCAATCCCCCAGCAAATGGAAATCCTATCCAATGGGACCTGATGTGTTTGTATGAGCCAGGACTGTGGTCTGGGACTATCACCAACTCCTTGCTGAACTTCTCAAGGCATTCAGTCTGACTAAATGCCTCTCCAACTGTGCCTCCTTCAGGCTGGGCTGAAGGCTGAGCCAGAGGCTGTGGGAGCAGGGAAGTGCTAAGGGCTCCACATGGCCATTAAAACATGCCAGCACAGACCACACTGCAGGATGCTAACATGGCAGAGACGGTGGTTTGAGGAAGGTGCATTGTGACACGAGGTCCCTGCTTACACTGGTTGGGCTGAACCTGGCTCCAGGATGCCCCCTCTCCCCCTGCCATCCTCTTGTTCACTCCACCCCTCAGCCCTGGGCCAGGCTTGTCAACACCCAGGAGCCCTGGCCCATGCACTCCAGGCAGGGGCAGCTCCCCACGCTCACCCTGCTGGCAGCAACCAGAGCAGATCAGCAGAGAAGCAAGCTCCTCCCCTGTGGCCCTCTCAGCCTGGACATGTAATAGGGAAGGGGCTGGAGAATCATAACACATGCATACAGAAACAGCCCATCTCAGAGCAGGTTTTGGGGTCAAGGACCAGGGTCAGTGCCACTTGCTCAGGGTGCGGGTGGGAGAGGAGGGCCGAGGTGTGACTCCATGGCTGGGCTGTGTCAGTGAGCGGTGCCTGCCCATCCCAGCAGGGCCCTGAGACAGAGACAGCTCCCATGTTCAGGCGGTGGGGTTTGAGCTGGGATCTTTCTCATGGAGTGTGAACACTGTGCCTGGAGCCCTCCTCCCAGCTGATCTCTGGAGAGTGGATGCTCAGCACCTTTCTCCAGTGCTGGAGGGGCTCTGTGTCTCTCCTTAGGGCTGTTTCCCAACAGGGTCATTCTTGTGGGGGCTGAAACCTCCAAGCAGCTGGTCCTGGACCAGGGGCCTTGGAAACTTGGCCCTGGCTTTCTTAATTTAATGCATTGTACAGAGGCTGCACACCCCACTCCTGCCACCTCCAGCAGCTGAAAAGCTGAAAGTGAAAAGTAACAGGGAAGTGACAGCAAGGCCTCCTCTCCCCACTCCTCTCCTCTTCCCACCTCTTCCTTGCCCCTCTCCCCTCCCACACACATACATGCCCCTTTAGACAACATATTAAAGTTTCCTAAAAGACACAGACCTCCAGGCTACGACATAACATCAGACTGAGCCAGAAACTGCTCTCCAGAGTCCTGACAACACCTGCCCGGCTCCTCAGGGACTGCTAAAAAGTGACCGTCAATGGCATTTGTCCTGTGCCAGCTTCCAGGGCCCCTGCTCTCAGCAATACCCTGAACTCCCTGCAGTGTCCCCGTCTATAACAGGTGCAAAGGCCCCACGTGCTTTACACCTATCCCTTCCATGGCGCACACCCCTAAACCCTTAGGCACTGTAGAGCAGAGAGGGGCTGCACCGTGTCAGGAATACATCCAGTCTCTGTAAGGATCACACAAAGTGCTGAGCTGAGAGAGCCAGTCTGGGCCTCTGCCCAGGGTGCTGTGGGCCCTTTCTTCCCTACA